TTATTACAAAATCAGACAGGGTCAGGTTCTGTCCATCTTTAGTCCACGAAAATGAGGGACTCGACCATGAAAAGTTGGAAAATTTGTAATCAAAAACACAGCTCAGATGACCAAAATCTCCCACGAGGTATGGTGAACTTTTCATTATTTCTACTGTTAAGTTAACCTCTGAAAGAAAACAAAAGCATGGATTTCCTCCTGATTAAGACTTTTAAAATCCTTAGAGCAGGATTTAAATTTGGCCTCATGTACCCAAACATTGGTGGTCCTTCTCTAAATAAATATGAGTTAAAGATTGAAAAATTATTGTCAGCATGCTTCAAATGTTTTTGACTTGATCAGATGAATTGTAAAAATAAGCTCATAGCTGCAGAGGGTAGGGAACAGTTGTGAAGTTTGTTGCAAAACTTTCACAATGCCAGATTTTATTCAATCTTTCACAATGACTACAATAATTGAATGGCAAGATGTAAAATTTCCAGAACATGAGATAATAAGACTAACCTTTCGGAACCATTGTAATATTGATTGTTTTTCCTGCCGTCAAGCAGTGGTTGAATCCACAATTAATTGACACGGATTTCCTCATTTCAAAGAAATAGGACTGCCTCAAGTTAGTGCTGTTATTTACTGGAAGGAAAAATAGCAAAAGAAAAAGTAGCTCCTCGAGGTTTATTTTGGTAGTTGATACATGCATCTAAGTAAGTCAAATAGATTTTCTCCAATATTCTTAATTATTATTTCACTTCTATGTGTTATCTACCAATACATGTATCTCATCAAATTTAGAATGTCATTCTAAATAACTGTTGTTCACAGAATGACTTACTTTCTGCTATTTCACTGCTATCAGCAAAACACCACTTCAAGGAATCATTTTGAAGAAGATAGGCTTTGTCTTCGTTTAGAATGTAACAACTGATTGAGATATTTTCATACTTTTGGACAGTGGTGACATTAGGTTCCATTACAATGATAGGTTTTTCCAAGACCTTAACAGAAGCATTTGCTGTACCAGTGCCGTAGAAGTCCAACTCATCCAATACTGCTTCACAGGCATATTCACCTGACAAGAAATTTTTCTTGCTTAATTAAGTTCTGATTTTTTTTAAAACATCGAAATGTTGGTAAAATTATCTTGTCAAATAACTCTTAGTTTTTTTAACCATTAATGACGTGTTTTCTGAATATCTTTTTTATTTAAACTTAATAGATGAAAATACATGGTTTAAGTGAAATTGATCCCCAAGTTCTTCTACGCTTTACAAATCCTTTCACCTAGGATTCCATTCAATGTTGTTACAATATTTTATTTCAAGCAAATATCAGAGTCCTACCTTCGTGTTGAAAGTCCACTGTTGTCATGTTGAGTAGAGATTCACATCTGTGACCATTACATTCTTGACTTATTACAAAATCAGACAGGGTCAGGTTCTGTCCATCTTTAGTCCACGAAAATGAGGGACTCGACCATGAAAAGTTGGAAAATTTGTAATCAAAAACACAGCTCAGATGACCAAAATCTCCCACGAGGTATGGTGAACTTTTCATTATTTCTACTGTTAAGTTAACCTCTGAAAGAAAACAAAAACATTTTTCTTATTTGAAAATGAAAAGAATTAATCTGAAAGTATGGCTGGAATATACTTCAAGATCATGCATTACTTTTTATGGAGTACTCTGTGGTATCCTCATCAGTTATTGTAGAGGATTGCATGGTTGACGTAATTAGTCCTGCTGTAGATGACACGTTTCTTGTTGTTATGTCTGGTGATTTTGTTGATGACACTGTCGGAGTAGACTGTACTGTTGTTTTTGTTGTTGCAGTATCTGCAGCTGTTTCAAATCATAAAAGTTACTTTGATTAAAGTAAAAAAATAAAAGGGATGTTTTACCAAAAGGGTGTCAACCAAATAACGTTATTTAGTTTGTTAATATTAATACATGATAAGATAAAGTGTTTTTTCTTTAATTGTATATTTTGAGAAAGTCAGAGTTAAAGAGAAAAAAAGAATTTTAAAAGTGTCAAGGTGTAATATTTAGTTATTGAAAATCCTTCTTTCAGATAGAAAACAACAATAAATCGCGGTTTCGTCGAAGATGCCGTGGCTACAGTGTTTGTGGATAAGAATTTGATCTTTACATCGAACGTGCCAATCCCACTCAGAGACGTGTAAAAGGGGTCCTTTTGAGACAGTAAGATGAGACAGTTCTAGTACATCAATTTTCTGTGTCGTAGTAGGTAATGGCACGATGTAATCGCTCCTTGCTCTATTTACTTAAGTGCCGAGTTGCAGCTCTCCATCGCCAAGCGTCTTAATATGATTATAGGGTTTTTTAGGTTCAAAAATTAAAAATGAATTTTGATTATAGTGATTTAATTTTCCATACTATGTATATAAAAATTACTTTTTTATATATTAGTGCGCACTCTCCAATCAATATATATTACTGAACATAATTCTCCTAAAGTAATTGTTGTTATAAGTATGTAGTGCCTATAATGATGAGGTGCAAAATGTTATCATAACAAATGTCTATAATATACAATATCAGATAACATTTATAAAGAATACATTAAGCAATTGAAAAGAATCAACATTTATATTCTTATGCCTCCTAAAACCTTAGAAGTTTAAAAAAAATATGCAGTACATTCTCTTTTTGATAATATTTTCGTGAATTTAGGATTGACGATACGCTGATATATGTATTCCACTAGAATTTGTCGCTGAAGTGTAACTGCTTTTATTAACAAGTTTCCGCCCCCGAAAAATTGAGGTACATTAAAGGCATTTTTGCAAGATACCAGGGAATAGTTTTTACTATATAATTCTTTTGGAAAGCACTTTTAATAAATAGTCCATATCAAATTGTATGTTGCATTTCTTTTCATTAACATTTCCGGCAACTTTAAAATTGTATAATTATGAATTGGATATATAACAACGACACATTAAAAAGTTCACTGGAGAAACATGTCGTCAAGGTTTACATTACTTCTGAAAATAAGAATTTTAAGGTGATACCTATAGATCGTGTTCTTTGTAATGTTTGTAGAGCGACCAAATATGGCGGATTGTTTTGCTTTTGCACAGTAAGGAGGTAACGAACAAATTAGGTATCAAAATTCCATTCTGTTCATTTGACATCTGTCTTTTTTAACTATAATTACAGTCGCTTCCATGAAGGATTATATAGAGAAAATTGTTGAGATTGCTATATTTTATATTCTATTACGGATGATTTTATTATGCCGATGGTTTTATTGTTCCTTATATCTTTTACAAAAAACGACAAGATTGATGGTACCAAAGTGAAAGTTGCAATCGTTTTTTGATTGGAAAATTCTACGCGAAAGTAATGTATATTGTTTTTATTGAAGAAAAGAGTGTATGATTATTTTTTTCTTTATTGATGAGGAATTGTTTGTGTTTATCGCCAGTTGGCAGAGTTCACCCGCCAATTAACAGGTGCAGGAGAGAGTCTGTTAATATAAAATAAAAATAATTTACCATTTCTGGATGAGTTGTGGCCGTCTTTTTAATTTAAAAATGACAATTATTGCACCAGTGTGACATCTACATAATATCAAAAATGTTTCATGTATCATGAATTGTACTACAATGACCGACGTACCTGTCTAAATAATATAACACAACCTATAAGGATGTGTCAATCAAACCCGCCAAAAAATTTGAAGTTTTAATGACTTTTAAATGAAATAAGATTTTTAATTAATTTTTGTGTGAAATGCTATTAAAATATATAATTCGTAATATTATAGAGAAAAAATTAACTTCAAATCTGTGGCCAAGTACATTTAAGGAAGTAAAAATTAACAAAGCTGCTGGACCAAATGGGAACTGGTTTTCGCGCATTCTTTACAATACAGGCATTTGTCTAGCATAAGATAAATGGAGGGCATAATTAGCTTTCATCCGATTCTTGCACTTGACTTCCGATACCTTTCAAACAATAAGTGCATGTAGGCAACACCCATCAGCCATGCAATTCTTTTAAAGGAACCGACACAGTGCTGCGATCTTTCTTCTTTCTTTTCAATATTAACATCGTTTTGAAACAGCAATTATTAGAATAATAATTGTATTTATGTATTTAATGCGATAATTCGTTTGGAGGTTTTCGGAAACATTTACGTTAGTAAATTGTGAAAATTCTCAGATCCACGCCTTGCCTAATTGTAATGGAATGTGTAAGGTCACGTGGTCAGCTCAGCGAGTCATTCACACTCGCGCGCTCACCACCGCTAACATGAAGCACGTCTATTTTGAAGACATTGTACGTTTCTGCGGTCTTTATCTTTAAATATTGATTTGCATTAATTAACCCCATGTAAAATTTTCTCAATCATTTATTTATATAAATGTTCTATAAATTTTCAGTCTTGTTTGACATCTGTAGTTGAAAGATAATCCGTTTTCTTTTGATGTTTAGGAAGGGCATTTTTGCACATGGTGGCAGTATTTCATTCTTGACATCTCTTTCCTGTCTGACGATAGCAATGTTATAAACTTATTCTTGTTATCAAATTTATGGTTAGATCCTAGGATTGCGTTCTTTGAATTTGCTATGCTTAGCTCTACATAATTTCAGTGTGGTAAATTAATGTCTTACGGATTCCCTATGCTCATGAAATTTTCTATCCTTAATTTTAATTGGCCGGTCAGTTTGAAAGTAGGCAGAGTTGTCAAAGAACCGATTTGTGAGTTTGTAAGGAAGGCAATCTAGGAACATTATTGTGTTTTTCAGTTTTGTATTCCATCTACGAAAGTTGTTCCAAATTTGTGAAATTTAGATTTTTAGATTTACAATAAATTCTGATCTTTAGAACCAACTTTTCAATTGACACAATATTACATGGTGAATTTAGTTTAATCTAACCACTTGCATGTATGTATTTTATTACTTGTCTTTTATATGTAACATGGTTGTATGCCAACATGTTTGGTGAATCAATAAAGAAATTGAAATTAATCTAGGAATGTTACACTCTATCCAAAACGCTTAGGAACATAATGAATTAACCTTCATCGTGCAAAACTTCTTTATACTTTTTGGAGTAGAAGTATGGTAGATTCCTCCATTAAAAGGGCATACTTCATGGAATTAATGGATACAACCTCTTGGGTCCGACAGTTCCAAGAGAAAGGGCTGTTATGCAAATATTTTGGGGTTGTTTATATTTGTTGAATTTCTGATACAAATTTAAAAAAAAAAAAAAAAAAAAAAAAAAAAAAATTACAATTTGGAAGATACTCTTAAAACTGGTTTAAAATAAAAAAAAAAAATAATAATAATAATAAAAAAATAAAAAAAAAAATAAATAAATAAATAAATAAATAAAATAAACACTCGCATAGATATAAAGTTAAATAATTCAAGGTTGTAATAAGTAGAATGATATCTGACCGTGTGTCCTCCTCATGAACACTCTCCGCATGATTCTTCTTCAATCTTCATAATTCTCTCAATTTATTATACCTGTTTTGTGGAACTAAAGTATGTACAGTAATTTAATTGTACCTTGATCTCAAATGGAGGGAACTACAATATAGGTCCGAAGATCAAATATTAGTCAATGTTAATTATTGTTTTGTTCCACTTAAAAATAAATAAATAAAGAAATAAATGAATAAAAAATAAATAAATAATTATAAATGAATAAAAATAATAATAATAATAATAATATAGCATTTAATTACTATGTTTGTTCTAGAATGTAGTTTAATTGCGAGTCGGTGTTTAACTGCAGTTCTGTTCTATTCATGATAAATACTTAGATACTGTGATGTGGTTTAAATACAGGTCAGTGATTTAACTGCTGTTTTGTTCTACTCGTGAAAATTAGTAAGATATTAGGATGTAATTTAAATGCAAGTCAGCGATTTAACTGCTGTTTTGTTATACTCACGATAAATATTTTGATACTCACTAAGTATGTAGTGTAAATACAGGTCAGTGATTTAACTGCTGTTTTGTTATATTCATGATAAATAGTTAAATATTAGGATGTAGTTTAAATACAGGTCAGTGATTTCACTGCTGTTTTGTTCTACTCTTACAATTAAAAATACCGTAAGGAACATGTTAATTCCCACATTGACAGGTCAGTGAATACCTGCTGTTGGATATCTAAATACTCCTCGTCTGACTTTGCTTACTTGCTGGCTCAATAAACAATATTTTTCGATATGTCATTTTCTCTGAAATTAGTTTTCTTCCATACTTACATGTATTACTCAATATTGTTATTTATTAACATTGCTCGGAGATTATATTAATACCGGTATTTCCTCCATTATTTGACATGTAACTACATTTTAGTGATAACTGGTAATGGAATAATTAATGAAAGGTAGAATTTTGTTTTTCATTTCATTACTTTAAGATGTTTGGAGAGGCCAGTGATTAACTGCCTTCATATAGATTTGATTTGTGCAAGCTCACCTTGGATGGCACGGATGTGATTTGCATGTCACATCTTACATGGATGTGACCTGCATATCACATCTTGTGGCCTATTTTATTTTGATGTGCCATCTATTTGCTAACTTTTTAATATGATGTTTTGATTGTCTTGTCTTACAGATACTTTTTTATAGTCAGTTTTGGGGGATCAGACATTATCATATTTTACGTAACTGATAAGCAAAGCTTGTGAATCTGATCCCCCTTCTTGTTTGTTAAATTGTTCACATTTATACCGTCATTTTAATAAATGACATTTTTCATCAACATCAAAGTGTTTTATTTGACTTTACAAAATTAGCAAAAACAAGCTGCGGTGATCTTGCCTATAAGCATTAGAAGACATAAAACAGCAATTATTAGAATAATAATTGTATTTATGTATTTAATGCGATAATTCGTTTGGAGGTTTTCGGAAACATTTACGTTAGTAAATTGTGAAAATTCTCAGATCCACGCCTTGCCTAATTGTAATGGAATGTGTAAGGTCACGTGGTCAGCTCAGCGAGTCATTCACACTCGCGCGCTCACCACCGCTAACATGAAGCACGTCTATTTTGAAGACCCACCTCCACCCCAACATTCCTATCCCTTAATATGATCATTAATGTGTCATGTAAAATTTATATTATATTATAGTTTTTACTCAATTGTTTTACGCTTTCATGTATTTGGTTTTGATTATGATCTTTTTGCAAACTTTTTCTTTTGAGGTTTTGTTTGTGTCTTTGATGTACCATCTTTTTGCCAACTTTTTCTTGTGATGTTTGCCTATTTTATTTTGATGTGCCATCTATTTGCTAACTTTTTAATATGATGTTTTGATTGTCTTGTCTTACAGATACTTTTTTATAGTCAGTTTTGGGGGATCAGACATTATCATATTTTACGTAACTGATAAGCAAAGCTTGTGAATCTGATCCCCCTTCTTGTTTGTTAAATTGTTCACATTTATACCGTCATTTTAATAAATGACATTTTTCATCAACATCAAAGTGTTTTATTTGACTTTACAAAATTAGCAAAAACAAGCTGCGGTGATCTTGCCTATAAGCATTAGAAGACATAAATAGGTTTTAGCTTATTGACAGTATTGTTATAACAGCAATACGTTTCGGCAGTTTGATGTCGTATTAATGTGTTAAAAATCTAAATCAGGGCCCCACCTTCATCAGGGATCCAACAGAAGTTTCTTTTGTGTCCAAATCGCATTTGTAATCAAATCACAAATACTTTAATGCCTAGCACATGCAGATATATTGGTTTTGTTTAAAATATTTGTTGTTTGCTGTTATCATGGTTATAGCGATACAAATTTCAAGAAATGTACATGCACAAAAGACAAGTTAAAAACCGTGTTTACTTTATATATTTCTGTACATGTACAGCAAAACTCGTTTAGTACGAACACGGATATAGTGAAATCATATTGGACCCCCAGCTATAAAAAATTAATGAATTTCTTATACAGTTATAACGAATTGCGGATATAGCGAAGTAATTTCATACGTCCCAGTGACTTAGTTATAACGGAGTTTTGCTGTACAGATTTCAAGAAATGCACATGTACAAAAGACAAAATTATAGGTCGTGTGAAATTTATTTTAGACAGGCTGATATTGACCATCGTATACGTGTCAACTGTTGAATACAAAAAATTCTACCCACGTAACTCTGACAGGGTCTGGAAGAAAAAAAACAAAACAAAAAAATCAGGTTTGTAGGATTTTATAATAAAAATTAATAAAAGGTGGAATTTTGAATACTTTCATATCTTATGAGTATTAATGAGAACTAATAAATCACGTCAAAGCAAACTTATGAATAAACTACACACATTTATCCATATCTAATATTTTCGAAAATTACTATAACAGAATCACTTAAACACTTGTCCCACCGTTAAGATAAATATAATCCATCTGTGTTCATATATTCTTTCTAGTACCATACTTTGCCGATATTGGCATGGTATAAAAATGTCAATAACACTTGCAAATATTTTAAAATTTAAAAACGACGTATTAGAAAAAATGGGTACTACGCCGACAAACGGAAATAAATCTCGCAAATGTGAAATTAATACCCCATTTAATGCTTTTTAACGGTAGGCGAGAATGACATGGAAAGATAGGGCGGTATATCACATGCTGTTCGGACGGGACGTCGAAGTGATATTGTCTTCAATGTCTTATCTATTCAAATCCCGACTATATAATAAAACAATTATGGACTCTTTTGGTGTTGAATATGGTTTGTTTTTCACATCGGCTTCGCCTCGGTCAATATGAATATTTTTACCATATTTAACACCAAAAGAGTCCATAATTGTAAAGATTTTATTGCTATGAACATACAGATATTCTTATCAGATCCATATTAAAATCATAGATCTCTCTTTTTTAATTAAAAAGGGGAAATTTTCTAAGCCCTTGTGCCGATCTGAAGTTAATATAAATATGAGTCAATTTTTAAGTTCATTCATTATCGTCATGACTTGACGTAAACTAAATTGAAGTGGTTCAGGCCACGGAATCAAGTCTCTTACCAATATATGATACGGTCCATAAGATCCAAATTGTTACATGCACAAGTCTATTATTGACTTTCATATTTCTATAATGTTGAACTACATAATTTGATTCGATAAGAATGTGTTATCAAAATATCCTACAAATGCTCTATATTCTTGTTGACCAAAGCGGCGTGTTCACGGGTAGGGGCTTAGATAAACTTCCGTATGTACACCTAAAGGTTAAGATGATTTGCGTTATCTATTCCAATCAATGCATATTTTTCTTGACCATCTGATGTTTGTTCTGGATGGCTTTATACGTCGAGCTTTACAAGAAATTTTTCTTGTTTTTTTTGTTTTAAGAAAACGGATAGAAAATCGCCTGAATGAAAGAAAACACATTTGATTCGGCGCTTTGTTGATATTTTCTATAATAATTATTTTAATTTGATTTTCTTTAATATTTCCTTTCCTCTCAGTTTGGGAAAATCCAAAGTCTTATCTAAGTCTTATCCTTAGTCTTTTAAAAAAAATTTCCTCGATAAATTAAAAAAAAAAACACTTTAACTATATGTAAAGGACTCTCAAGTAATTGTTATTTGTCTAAATAATTACCTTTTTAATTAAATTCAATGTTTTTGGCTCAATGGAAAGAAATTTTGATTAAACTATCACCAAAGAAAATATAACGATTTACAAAGATTTTTACGATATACGAATACATATATTTCAAATGACTTCCGATTATGCAATTGTGTAATGAATTATAAACGCCCCATTGTAAGGTTTTTTTAATGGAAAAATTTATTCTGTTCAAACTGTGCTCTTGGGCGTTTATTAGATTTAATTGTCTTAGTTTTTTTTTAAAAAAATGAATTGATTTGACTTAAAAATTAAAAAATATAATTATTATATTTTATATGTGCACGTACATGCATACAAAAGCCACAAAGCAAAATAGAAATATTTTGTTACTTTTATTTTACTTGAAGGTACATGCACGCATTGTTATCGCATATCTTCTGCATTAGTTTGATGTACAAAAGTAATATTTACTTAAGATTGGACTAGTATTCTACTGTATTGATTATTTTTATCATTAAATGGCCAAATAAATTTTTGTTGTCAATATTTCTAAGCACGTCGGATAAGAGTATAAAAAATGTATAAATCTCTATATACCTTGTAAATTACAGGGTTGTTGAAAAAAAAATTCACGTTTCAAATTGAAATTGTAAAAGGATCGTTTATCAACATACCTAATAGAGAGAGGGAGAGAGAGAAAAAAGGGAAGAGAGGAAGAGAAGGCTATAGAGATAAAATGATAACGAGAAGTTGTAATGATAGCGACATCCTTAGTTAAAATTTAGTGTTTTATGATAAGATAAAACTACCCCAGATAGATTACATTTGATCAGTGTGCTTACAGAGAGATCAGGAAAAAATTGTCAAAATCTAAATAAAAATTTTTGGGAAATTTAATTAAATCAGTCAAGATAAAAAGTGAAAAGTATGCGCATGTGCATGAGTGAAATAGTGTATGTTCGTATATACAGGGCATTCTTTTAATTAGGTCTTTCCACCTTTCTGTGGAAAGACCTCTTGAAATGCTTATGTTTATTATTATTTTTCTGTTATGGCCTTTTGAACCGAAAGACTTAATGAAAACCTTTTCAGTTCATGATACTGGATATCAGAAATCATTTCGAAAAACTACCCAACGAGTATGACCTATGACCCTTTTCGGATTTCTTGCCCCTTGTACGAAAAACCTTGTTATCACTACTCCTCCAAAACCTTTAACTAAAGAGGTGCAAAACCTTCACTAATGTGTTCGACTAATTGAGTACATGTGACTTTGATCTTGGGAATGTATTTGTTGACCCCTTCAATGAGTTACAGCCCCTGAAACTTTATAAATTTTAGGAAAAATTAAAAAAAATTAAAATGAAAAGTCGTAGAGACTTGGGACCAAATGCATAAGATTCATTGACCTTTGACCTTTAAATTCATAACAAGGTCAAAAGTCAAGGTCATTCCAAATATGAATAATAAATGTCTTTTAATAGCTCTTATGTCTTTTAACATATACTGCCTATCTTCTGTCTTTAATATGTACTCTTAAAACTCTTTCGAAGACTTCATTCTTGTCCCCTCAGATTGAACCTTTCAAAAGTTATTGCCCCTTGTGCTAAAAACCTTGTTATCGCTACTCCTCCGAAACCGTAGACCGTAGAGACACCAAACCTTCACTAATGTCTTAAGGGTCTGTAGGTCTAACTTAACTGTATAAAAGCAAAAGGATTTGATGACCCCTTATATGAGTTATTGCACTTTAACTTCTTTGTACTTACTATTAAACCTTATAACTTGAAAACTATAAGTAGTAGACGCATGGGGTCAATTGCATTGTGACCCTTGACCTTTGACCTTGAAAATTTTTCAAGGTCAAAGGTCAGGGTCATTCACCCCTTTTTAATTTTTTTTCTTCATTTTTTTCTATCTTTAAAGACTAATTGGGTTTCTTTTTTATGATATATAATTTTAAGGAGTCAGATATAAAAGAAATTTGAAATTCAAAGAAGGTGGAAAGACCTCTTATTGTTCTTTGAACAATAAGTCTCCTAGTTTATTTATTGATTGTTTGATTGTATATTGTTTAACGTCCCTCTGGAGAATTTTTCACTCATATGGAGACGTCACCGATGCCGGTGAAGGGCTTCAAATTTAGACCTATACTCGGCACTCAGGGCCATTGAGCAGTGAGGGTTCTTTATCGTGCCAACGCCTACCGTGACACGGGACCTACGTTTTTAAGGTCATATCCGAAAGACCCGTGACTTTCACTTCTAGTGCCGAGCGCTTGGCGAAGGAACAGTCACTACCTTTGTTTACGTCTTAGGTATGACGCGGCGCCGCGATCGAGAATCGAACCCGGGCCTCCCGATCACGAAGCGAACGCTCTACCACTAGGCTACCGTGACCGGTTAATTTATTTATTGAAGATATTTGACCTTGTTTCAATTACATTTTAGTGATAACTTAAGCTAAAAAAGAAGGTCTCTTTTTAAGTTTTGCTGTTGTTTCATAACCAGAAGTAAGGATTTTTCATTTCTTTAAATTTTTTTTTAGGAAATTAGGTTTTAAGGATTATGTATATTTTTTAAACATTCTTCAATGCTTTAGTAGGTCTAAGAAAAACTTCGAGAGTAAAAATTCCAAACGTTTTAGTGAGACATTTGAGAGTTTAGGGTAAGTTTGATGTAGGTAATTAGAGACAGAGTTTCGATTTGTTAATAGTTTACTTCAGAGATTATGAAAATAATGAAAACGATATGAAGATAAAGAATGGTGACTTATGAAACGGTGTCTTTATTAAAATCTCAAACAATGCAAATATTTTTTTTTTTTAAAAAAAGCCTAAACAAGGACCCTGAAAATGTTGCAAAGAGGATCGGGTACTTAGTTAGAGAAAGCATCCTCAGCATTTTTGAAAGATAATTTGCCGTGATTATTTGCCAATTTTCTTGATCGAATTACCAAATTACAAAAAAAAAAATTAAACTTCAAAATAGTAAAATACTTTAATTAGTTCCTTGAACATGTTGAAAATTTATTTACATCAATTAAATGACTTCGGTACGATGTTATGTTTGATTAACAGTGCTAACATAATTCTAGAGCAGTGGCTCTACAGAAAAGACATATGTAAATATTTTGTTTAAATAATACCATTTATTTTGATGCAGCTACCAATTAGCCGTTACATGGAAGCATGGGAATTGTGAAAACAAATTATTTGTCTTTGTTCCTTCATGCAAAATGTTCGGCGAGGATCTAGGAGATAATTAATTGTATAGAAGGTGAAGCCCTAGTAATTAAGTGCTCTACCCTTTAGAATTGAAAGACGGTAGAATCGTTTGATTAAGGTTTCATTTAGCATGTTTAGAGAGAATTTATATGGTTGGATTTTTTAATTTTCACAGACCTTACTGTGTCGGCAAAATTCTTACTGTGTCGCAGGCATGAAATTTAAATCGTTATTGTGTCGGAGAAAATTTTACTGTGTCGGGAGCAACACAGTAGAACAGCTCATGGAGAATTCTGTGTTTTAGTGGTCCGTGTTTTACGCCCTCTTTACAGTTTTGTATTGTCAACAGAGTTTTTGAGATCGACCTCTGCTCATTATTTTCGCCTTTTTCATTTTATCTGGTATTTGTACATTTGTCTGTCTGTCCTACACTTTTACCTAATATCTTCAGAATTATAATTAAGAAAATAGATTTAATATTCATCAATTATTTAACTTGGTACAATGAAATGCTCAAGCGAAATGCCGACCTCGTGACCTTTGAAATTAACTTTGATCTATTTTCATTTTCTGGTACATTCATAGTGTTTATAAATATAAAGTTTCTTTTTATGCTTTTATATTGTGATATAAAGCATATGCGGTATTTTTGTAAGGCCTTTTGAAAAATCCCAACGATACACATCTAACAGTCCCTTTGACCTTTGACATACTCTTATGAGATGTCGGTTCTGATAAATACCTATATAAAAAAGCTTTTCCTGTTCTTTCTATGGTTTTCAAGCTTACAGATAAAAAAGGAGAAAATACTTTGAATTTTATGAATCCAATATACTTCTAAGCACTCCTGATTAAAATTTATTGATACATGTATAAGATATTAATCAATTTTAACGTTATTTTATTATTTTAAAACACATGCTGTAATTGATGCACTGTGCTAAATGAGAAAATTGTTGATTATAAAATAAACTTAAAAGAATATTACAAACTTTCAAAAGTAAAGCCAGTGTGGTGTTTAAACGAAGCATGATAGTGCACCATTGTTTTTCATATTTTATAGAATTTACCTGCTTATTTGGAGTGGAATGGGGTTAAAATATGTTTTGAAAAGGATACATGTTACTTTGTCTTAAAATCAAATTTTCATCACTTCGTAAGTTCTAGTTGATACAATGACCTTGTCAGCAAATAAAATTTATCATTGAGTCAAATGCTGACTTACGTTTTTCATACTAATTGTTAATCTATTGTACACCAAATTGACAATTATTACCTGATCATGACAAGAAACACACGGCGGATGTGACCGGTCAGCAGGGGATGCTCACTCCTCCATGGCACCTGATCCTATCTCTGATGTTTCGGGGGTCCGTGTTTGCTCTGCTCCTATTTTGCATTGTTTTATGGACTTTGATATTGAATGCTGTTCGTTATCTCTACATCCTCCTCACAAGTATAAAATTTAGTATAAAAACTTTAAATGTTTTAAAGGGACCAAACTAGAGTTGGGTATTGCGAGTGAAAACCATATTGCGATATATTGCAATATTTTATGATGAATATTGCAATATATTGGGATATATTGTAGATCAATTATCATTTAATACATTTGTGAAGAAAGTTTAAAATGCCGTCAAACTCAAAGAATATTTTAATTTATCTATAAGTTTTAAAGGGGGTGAGGGGATAAAATATTAATTGCGTAACGTATTTACAATTAATCAATGGGATCGTACCTGGTTATTTCCAGGGTTTGGGGTGTAAAACATAAACTGATTTAAAATTGATTGGTATGATTAAAAAGGACTGCCGAAATATACAAATACGTCCTAACCTTATCTAGGTTAACAATAATCAAATGGTGAATCAATACAATCAATCAGAGGCAAGCAACAATAAATTATCTGGTAGACCTATTAATAATAATACTAAAATGCAAGGCCAGTCGCCCTTGGACTACCGCATATACTGTAGGATGCCTTATTCAGGACGGACAGTATTTGTGATAGCCCTTCAACCACTATACTCACTGTAGGATGCCTTATTCAGGACGGACAATGAGTATAGCGGCCTGGACGGACTGGTCAGCGAATGCAGACGAACTTTATGGCTAGCCTATTTGCTTGAGGTTAACCAAGTTTGTGGCAGGCCTTATAGCAGGTTTGGCAAACCTCAAATGGCCTTCCAAATTCACTCTCTAAACTGCATTAACAGGCGAGGAATTAATAACAATGCTTTATGCATATGACACTTACACTCGTCTTCTCTCTTTGGCCGGCGCATCAACAATGACACAGACGACTGCAGAGTCTCGATATATATACCCTATCAAAGTCACGTGATGTTAACGATGACTAATTGAGAACTCTGCATGGTCGTACCTTAAAATTCCGGAATTGTCACACTACCCATGCCTCCGATGACATGCGCCCCGCATGTACAACTTAAATAAACTGATAATTGTATAATTTAGAGAAATCTTTAATAAACAAACGTCATTTACAAAGAATTCCTTTCTTCTGTAATCTATAAACATATATACAACTATGTACAACTATGTGCACCAAAAAGTCAGCGAAGTTCAGTCTTCTCCTCAACTACTTCTTCAATGTCAATGTCACCCTCACGAAATCTTTTGACCCGCTTGGTAGACCTCATGATGGTCTTCTCACCCGCCTCAGTCTGGGTTCCAATGTCCACCATGAATCTCTTCCTCTTACAACTCTCACATTTGGATTCTTGAGTACCTTCAACTTCTGGTTTACTAGTGGATTGAGGAATCTTCGTTTTTGGAATGTGGGGTTTGGTGGGTGCTGTTTGTTTCCTTACGACTCTACCCTCCAACAGCTTATCGTTAATGGCTTTTTCCTCTTTCTGTGATGGGGAATCTTTTGCCTCTTCTTCATTATCACTACTATCAGTAGACAGAGTGCCAATAACGTCCCCATAGTCTTGCTTAAGCCACTCTTTCCCTGATTCCTCTTCGTCTTTTTCAACACTTTCATTACAAGTTGCCTCTCTTCTCTCATCGGGCCTACCATCAAGCTTGATGGGCTCCTCAATCAGGCCAAGGTGGGCTCTTTTCTCATGTCTCTTGACATTTATCTCCTTATTGCTTGAGTAACTGCAAAAGGTGCAGTTAAATGTTCTCATAGCGCACTGTACAACATGGCTTTTGTAGTCCTCTTCCGTTCTTGCCATGTAGGTGCACATGGGGCATTTACGACATTTCCCTGGAGTAACTTTTGTCTTTGCCATCTACAAACATATAAAAAAAAATATGCATTACAGGTTAATAATATCTGTTATGAACTGTAAGCATAGTATCATTACATATCAGTCTCGTAATCATGTAACCAGATTGGTGGTCTACGAGCTCTACCTGGACGATTATTGCTTGCTGGATTAATAGCGGAGGGGATATCATCAAAACTTGCATGATGATCTGAGTCACAGTTTTCTTGACCATCATAATCACCCCTTAAGTCATCAGTTTCAACATTTACTATGTTATCATTTTCACCTGATAGAACTTGCATACGCTTTTTGCGCATTCTATCTACATGAATGACTTGGTCTGAACCCCTTGGTCCACAATTTACAAGGTATGTCAAATCTGACATCTTTTTCTTAACCTTGTAAGGACCCTGCCAGAAACTGGTTAACTTGGGCGATGTTCCAGGTTTTCTTCTTGGGAAATAAACATACACCTCATCGTTGGGTTCAAACTTTTTCCACATCAACTTGCGGTCATGATAGTGCTTTTGTCTCACCATTGACTGATTCAGTTTGGTCCTAACAAAGGAGTGAGCCTTCTCCAGACGTTCCTGCAACTCCCATACCCATTTATTGCTTGGCGTGTCTTTTATTTGAGGTGGCATCTCATATTGGAGATCCAATGCTGTACCAACCTCCCTTCCAAACATCATCATGTTCGGTGTCATACCAGTAGTTTCGTGTACTGAACTGCGGTAGGCCATCATAATGAAAGGTAAGTGCACATCCCAGTCATTATGATGATCATTTACAAACGCACTGAGCATTGTTGTGAGCGTTCTGTTAAAACGCTCAACCATCCCGTCTGACTGGGGATGGTACGGGGTGGTATGCGTTTTCTGGATGTCCAGTAATTTACACATTTCCTTGAAGAGAGTACTTTCATATTGTGGTCCTTGGTCTGAATGAACCACAGCTGGTACTCCAAATCTTGTGATAACCTCCTCAACAATCTTTGCTGCTACTGTAGACGCTTCCATATTAGGTATTGCAAAACATTCAGTCCACTTTGTGAAGTAGTCTGAAAATACTAGGATATATCGATTACCATTGGCAGTCACAGGGAGCTCTCCAAGAAGGTCAGAGGCTATTCTTTCGAATGGATAGCCAGAATACACCAACTTCATTGGAGCCTTGTTGCTTGGGATTGGTGCTTTCCGTCTAGTACATACTTCACAACCAGCAATGTAGGAATGTACGTCTCTTTGCAGACCAGGCCAATAATAAGACTGTCGAATTCGGGCAAGTGTTTTGTGAATACCAAGATGGCCTGCAGATCTACAGTCATGGTAGTGCTTTAACACGGTTCTCCTTTCACTACTGGGAACAATGGCTTGTAGGATATCTTGCATCGTAGTCAAATCCGTCCATTTCCTGCAGAGAACTTCATCATTTATGACAAGCCTGTCCCACTGGGAACAAAGAGACTTCACAGTGACCGACTCTGATGACACGACATCTTTGCTTGGCCTATTTTTGAGTGATAACCAAGCTTTTACTTTTGATATGTCTTTGTCATCATCCTGTAGACATTTTAAAGGCTTCTGCTGAAACAACTGTTCATCCACTTTGGCACTACAGATACTCATGTGGTCAGTAACACAATGCTCAGCCTTACATTGTTTACAAGGTGCTCGACTAAGGCTGTCCGCATTGCCATGCAATCTTCCCGGTCGATGTTCAATGGTAAAGTCATATGTAGACAGAACATCCATCCATCGGGCAAGCTGTCCCTCAGGATCTTTAAAGTTTATTAGCCACCTCAGTGAGCTATGATCTGTACGTAAAGTAAATTGACGACCATACAAGTAATGCCGGAAGTATTTCACAAAATGAACGGCTGCCAATAATTCTTTCCTGGTAACACAATATTTCTTTTCAGATTTTGTCAGACTCCTGCTTGCAAAAGCAATAGGCCGCTCAATGCCGTCTTGTATCTGAGACAACACTGCACCGATAGCAAAACTGCTGGCATCAGTGTCCAAAATAAACCTTTCACTGAAATCTGGATGGGCCAGGACTGGTGATGTTGACAATTCTTTGCGAAGTAGATCAAATGCTTCCTGGCATTTGTCACTCCAAATAAAATGTGCTCCTTTCTTTGTTAGGTCATGAAGTGGCTTAGCTATTGTTGCAAAGTTTGCTACAAAACGTCTGTAGTAGCTACAGAACCCGAGGAATGACCTGAGCTCTGATACATTGGAGGGAACTTCCCATTCTTGCACAACCTTTATTTTAGTTGGACTTGTTGATATCCCCTTTTGAGACACAATATGTCCCAAATATTCAACCTCTGACGCAAACAATGTGCATTTTCTGGCTTTCAACTTAAGGCCAGCTGCTACTAAACGGTCGAACACTTGAGTTAGATTTTTGATCATATCATCTACAGTTTCGCCGACTACAATGATATCATCCAGGTATACAAGGCAAATTTGCCATTGCAGACCTCTCAAGACCGTTTCCATTAATCGCTCAAAAGTCGCCGGGGCGTTGCAAAGCCCAAATGGCATGACTTTGAAGTTGTATAGACCCTTTTTGGTTGCAAACGCTGTCTTATCTCTGTCTTGGGAAGCCACTTCAACCTGCCAATACCCTGCGTTAAGATCTAATGTTGAAAAATATTTCTTCCCTGATAACTGATCCAGGGAGTCGTCGATTCTTGGGAGTGGGTATGCATCTTTAATGGTTACATTATTTAACTTCCTATAGTCGACGCAAAACCTTGTGCTCCCATCCTTCTTCTTTACTAGCACGACTGGGGATGACCATGGACTTGTACATTCCTCAATTATTTCCCTTTTCAGCATATCATCAACGTGGCGGTCCGTTTCCTCTTGCATATGAACGGGCATGCGCCTTGGAGGCTGTTTAATTGGTGTGGCTGTTCCAGTATTAATGGTATGCTCGGTAACTTTTGTTTGACCTAAATCAGCATCTGAGGCCGCAAACAGGTGTGAATACTTCAAAAGCATGTTTTTAACAGCCTTGGCATTATCTGCTGTCAATCCTGTAACTGACCTTGCGTATAAATCCTTAAGATGGTCAGGCAATTTTCTCTTATTGTCTTGTAAGTAACTGGTCTTGTCATAGACGTTGTCAATGTCAGACAAAGTAGCTACAAAAGTTCCTTTATATAAGGTTTGTGTTTCTGCAGAAGGATTCATCAATCTAACGGGGGCTACTTTATTACCTTCTACTAAAGTTCTGGCCACTAAACCTCTATCAGATTCCAAGAAACGATCAGACGACTCTACGATACCAAATTGGGGTACCTTTTCAAAGACAGGGGGTATGACATTGCCAATGGTAATAATTTCACTGTAAGGTGGAACATTGACATTCCCAGCCAAGGTTATCCTACAGCAACCTATCTTGCCCTCAAAAACAAGTTTTACACGCTTGCCCTTAATAATCATACAAGAGTTTGTCAAATCAATCAAGCAATCATTGTTCGTCATAAAATCAAGCCCAAGTATGCCATCAACACCAGTGTCTGCTACAGCAAATGTTTGGCTATACATTGAGTCCGCTATTGTAAAAGAAATTGAAAGAGACCCTTCCACTTTCATGGCAGTACAATCAGCCATTAGGATGGGCTTGCTCACCTCATTAAGTCTTGGGTGCGGATCCTTAAGAACAGAATGTAGTATGTCTGGTGAAATAATACTGAGGGTCGCACCAGTATCTACAAGTAGTTTAACCCTATAGCCATCAATAACTGCTTCGATAAAAATCCCAGCTTCCCCAGCTTTTCGACTAATGCCTGTCTTGTTGGCTGTGCTATCCTTTTGCTTAGCATTCTGATGTTCACTTCTTAAAGGCGCTGGCCTTTGGCTTTTGCTGGCATTTGTCATGCCTTGTATCGCATTTTTATACTTGAAACAGTTCTTCTTCACATGGCCTTTCTTTTTGCAGTAATGACAGGTCACACCAGGAGAGGATGGCTGTGTAGAGTTTTGCTTCTCCATTCTCATCTTCATAGATTGCATTTCCTTTTTGATATCCTGGACTGCTTTCAGTAGGGAGGTAATTGTATCTCCTTGGTCTGTCTTTTCCTCTGGCTTCATCTCCCTCAAATATCCTTTGCTCTCTGTCAAACGTCGTTCAGCTGAATTGAATGCATCTAATTCAACGGCATGCCTGATTGCGTCATTCAAGTCCACTGGCCGGGCTTGTTTAATGCGCAGTCGCATGTCGCTTTCCCTTAAGGCATCAATGAACTGTTCTTTCGCCAGGGTTTCTCTCACTTCCACAGGAGCTGTTGGGTAGGCCAGGTTTGCCAGACGACGCATGTCCTGTCCAAGCTCTGGTAATGACTCTGTAGCCTTTTGCCTTCTTTCCCTCAACTGAGCCCTATATAATTCAGTCTGATTGGACGGCAAAAATCTCTCTTCAAGTGCCTTACTTAAAAGTCTGTAGTTACATCTGTCTACAGCCGGCAGATTTCCAAGGACACTCTGTGCTTGACCTCTTAGGGCAACGGCTAAATACATCCCCCTCTCAGCCAAAGTCCATCCGTTTAGTTCTGCACAAACATCGAAGTGAGACTTAAAATCAGCCCATGACGAACTTCCATCAAATTTATCTGGTTTCACCATGGCGTTTTTCCGTTTGTCAGCCTGTGTGATATTCTCAGGACGGCGGGTTGTAATGTTTGCCTCATTCAACAATGGGAAGTCATGCCTGGATGTATAAGCATGGTATGGTGTACTCGTAACGGAAAACCTATCTGGCTCGCCACCATCATCTCTTCTCATTTCGCTAAGGTTGTCAGGCCTAGTATACATACTTGGTAGGGTGGTCGTCCTATTCGTTTTAGGTCTTACACCCTCACCTAAATCTATGGTAGTCCGCCTACTTTCAGGTAATCCTGAATCTCTGGCGGCCGTCTTTGCTCGTTCTTTATTTATACTGGCCTGAAGCTTGCTTAGCTCCTGCTCTAAGGCAGTCATTTCATCATCCATAATGTCACTCTCAGA